TGACTCCAGACTCCCGTTAATTTCGCACCCTGTATATATATATATATAATAATAATAATAATTAACTAATTAAAATATTTAATGCAATGCATCTGATTTTATTATTTAAATGTAAGTTGATGTTTGTTGATGTGTTGCATTCTTCTTTTTTAAGTGCATGGACAAGAGAGTGTCAAGAGGTCATGCTGTCTTAGAAGTTACATCTAATGGGGATCTTACCATAACTCCAGTGAGTGCACTTTTTAATTAAATATATTCCATGCAAGTGTCTACAAATATTACTTATTGTATGTATACGTTAACAAGTATGAAACTGATTTAGTATTCTTATAGTGTTACAAAACCTCCCAAGAGGACAGTTACATTATTTGGTATTAGCATTAACACCTGTTGTTGTATTGCCACACTGTGTGATTTTGCTATCAACTGTAACAGTTATCAACCCCCGGCTTTCCTCACACATTTAGATACACGTAAACCCGTGCTTCTACAAGCCTGCCTCCATGGAAAGTTCCAAAATGCTCACTCTGGAGAAAGAGATATCGCAAAAATTAGAGTCTGGTGACAGAATCGCCCTTCTTCCGAACACCTATGTTTACGAGGTGGTAGTCAAAGAAGGGAAAAGGTAAGTGCTTGTCTGTGTCACGTCCTCCTCTGCCTAAACCCCCTCTAAACTATGTTGAGAAGTGTGCCTATAATATAAGTATAGCTTTGTCTCACATGCTTTATTTAAGTTTGTTGTTAATACTGCGCTACATCCATTGCAAACCCCGTAGTCAATGTTGCTTAATTAGTGCATTAACGTATCAACACAATGTCACAAGTTTTTCACGCATGCTCGGCTTAAACCACAACTCGAACGTGACACGACGTAAACTTAACGTTGACCGCGAACTGCGAGCATGTGGCATCGCCCGAAAACTGGCGAGATGCTCAACGTGTTTCCCTCTCGCAGTAACGGAGTCGCCGACGCAGCAAAGACTGGTGACAATGAGACCGAGGCCGAAAAGCAGAGCAACAACGGAAGTCGATCCGAATCTCCAGCCAGCATCAAGACAGAAATATACGACACAAAGAAGCCAAGCGATCAGGGTAAGGTGGCTTCCATATGTCGACGAGAGGAAGAGCGAGAAGGGTTGCAGGTCTTTAAAGTTGCAAAACCTCGCAGCTAAATACATATATATACACCTACTGTGAGCTTGCGTATTTTGCAAAAATTTACTACAACTCATTTGTATTGCTACTTTCGTAATATTCTCAAAATCTAAACGAAATTACTTCTCTTACGAAAGTAGCACCACAGTGATGTTTACACATCCGGGAAACAGCGGAGCGATTGTTTGTTGTGAGGCTTTTTGTTGCGAGGTTTATCCATTTTAAGTAACGTTGTGGATCAGCTTGACTGATATGAGATGCCAAGCTTTATTTATCATAGTCAGACGTTTAACATTCGTAGTGGTTTTCATTCTAACTTAATTTTCGATCTGTTGTTTGCAAACAGAGAAGAAAGATACAGCTAATCCAGCAGCAAAAGACGGGCCTGCCGATGAAACAAAAGAAGGTAATACAGGTATAGGTAGAGGTGAATTAATTTCAGGATGCTTGCTGTATAAATCCGTTATAGCTGTACTTACTGCATATACTGAGTACAGTGAAACCTAAGATGGTATAATTAGTTACTTATCTCATTGAAACTCACATATACCTATCTAATTACCATAACTACACGTCTATCCAAATCTAAAGACATCTCTTGATAGCCAAGTCTAAAATTATTTTGAATCGTCCCTCTGAAAAGTACAAGTAAGTCCATCGAAATTTCCTTTTTATCATAAAATTTAAATACTTCATCGAATACGTTTCTGTAAATAATATGAAATACTTTTAAGCATCGAAATGATATCAAATTATTTAAGCACTGCATCTCTCGTCTTTCTAGATGACCTTTCCGAGGACGCATCAAAAGAGACGAACGACAACGACGTGTCCATAAAAAAGAACAAAGCCGGACGTCCAATCAGAGGCACAAATTCTTCCGCCACCTCTAAGGAGGCCGAGGGAGACTCTGAGGAAGAGCAGGAAGAGGAGGAGGAGGAGGAGGAGGAGGCAGTCGCAAAGAAAACTCGAGGCACGAAGCGGCCCATGATCGAGGAGGACCCAGATGACGAGTTCGAAGAAGAGCAGGAGGTCATGCCGAAGAAGAAGGACAGACGCAAGCCCACGCAGAGAGGCCCCCCGAAACCACCGGCACAGAAGACACTACACGGCCGGGTAGTGAAATCAAGATCGGCTAAAGAGGAGGAGGAAGAAGAAGAAGAAGAGGAGGAGGAGGTCCTTCCGAAGAAGAAAGCGAGAGGCAGGCAAGCCAAGCAAGAGGAACACGCTGACGATGACGAGGAGGAGATGGAAGAGGAGGAGGTCATGCCCAAGAAGAAAGCCAGGGGGCGCCAAACCAAGCAAGAGGAAGACGAGGAGGAGGAGGAAGTATCGCCGAAGAAAAAAGGCAGGGCACACGGCAATGACGACGATGAAGAGGAAGAGGAAGAGGTCGTGCCCAAGAAGAAAACGCGCGGCCGTCCGACCAAACAGGAAGCCAGCGACGACGACGAACAAGAAGAAGAGATCCCGCCGAAGAAGAAATCGCGCGGACGCCCGCCGAAACCGCCCGCGACCCGCAAACCGAAAGCGAAGCCCGTCAGGGGGCGCGCCGTAGGCAGCGACGATGAGGACACCGCGCGGCTCAAGGACCGCGACTACTCCGAGGAGGAGGACGACGGCGAAGAAGAGGAGGTGGCGCTGAAGAGGAAGCCGCGGGGGAAGGCGGGGGCGCGCGGGAAGCGAGCGCGGCGCGACAGCGACGAAGACGACGACGACGAGTATGCGCCCCGCGCGGCGGCGTCGCGTCGCGGCCGCGGGAAGCGAGCAAAGCCGGCGGCGAGGGCACGGCGGCGGCGCCACCGGTCGAGCAGCGACGAGGAGGAGGACGACGACGACGATGAGCTCGACCACCTGCCGACGCGGCGGTCGGCGCGTGGCAGCGTCCGCCGGCAGACGCACAGCGACGACGACGAGGAGATCGCGCGGCAACGCGCCGCCGAGAGGAAGCAGCGGCAGCCGCGGGCGGCCGCGCTCAACTACAACTACAATGGTGCGTGGCGCGCAGCGTAGTAGTAAGCTAATAAGCCACAGTAGTGTGGTACTACAACTACAACTACAATGGTGCGTGGCGAGCGCGGCGTAGTAGTAAGCTAATAAGCCGCGGTAGTATGGTACTACAACTACAACTACAATGGTGCGTGGCGCGCAGCGTAGTAGTAACCTAGTAAGCCGCGGTAGTATGGTACTACAACTACAACTACAATGGTGCGTGGCGCGCAGCGTAGTAGTAAGCTAGTAAGCCACGGTAGTGTGGTACTACAACTACAACTACAACTACAACTACAATGGTGCGTGGCGCACGGCGTAGTAGTAACCTAGTAAGCCGCGGTAGTGTGGTACTACAACTACAACTACAATGGTGCGTGGCGCGCAGCGTAGTAGTAAGCTAGTAAGCCGCGGTAGTGTGGTACTACAACTACAACTACAACAGTGCGTGGTGCACGGCATAGTAGTAAGCGAGTAAGGCGCATGGTGGGATGCTCTTGCATGGGGTGGGGGGAGGGGGGCCTCGCGTGGGAGCGTTATAGGGAAATCGGCATGAGAGGGGCCTTTTGTGAAACCCAATGTTAATAAATTTAGCCAGCCATGCTGTAGTACTACGCTGGTGCGTCTGTGCGTGCGTGTGTGTGCACGTGTGCAAACTGTGTGTAAACTGCAAAAGCAAAAATCACACACCACACCACACACACACACACACACACGGGTAATCTTGGCCACACCGAGTTTTCAAGACACGGCCTTTCGGTGTGAGGGAAAGACAACCAAGGTTTAATATAACCGGTTAAAAATTCGACCTCGCTCTTTTGTAAATCTACCTCGCCATTTTATTTCACCGAGATCTTTCGTTTCGCATTGCAGTGGATGAGTACATCGACGAGTTCATGCCCAGCGATGAGGACCAGGTGGAAGAGGCGCGGTTGTCGAAGGACTCCGACGAGGAATACCACGCAGATGCCGTCGCGCTCGAGTCGGGAAGTGACTGGGAGAGCCGGGGAAAGAGAAAAGTGAAGGTGATTACTACGTTTTACGCCACGTCACTTGTGAACGCCGAGGTATCGCGGTAGGGCGGTCATTTCGGCTAGAAGACGTCACGAGGGCATTCGTCCGAAATGAACGGAAGTTTTCGTCGTTTCCACGCGCGTACCGTACCTTGCGTGCACAGCGCGTGCGGGTTTCAGGCTGAGTTTTTTCTGAGGATAATGAAATGAAACATTGCGTGTAGGTGTGCATATTAGCATCTACCTGATGAAATGCACACTTCTCTACTTGGAGTTCCAAGTATCAGCAGTTTACTTTTAGTATCAATTGTGAATGAGAAATGTGTAGCATAGAGTCATGAGCCATTTCTATGGAGCATATCCACTGCACTACTTGCATATAGGTTTGACTAGCTTATTACTCCATATAATTGAGGTGTAAGGCAGTCTTGGAACCAAGTCTGAAAACCCTGCCAGGCTTGATTTTCGAAAATTTCTCACTTCTACTATACAACCCAAAGTGAAGTCTCACGAAATTAAAACATAAAAAAATTAGCCAGTCCTGCTCAAAGGTTACCATGCTCGGCGGCGACGGGCTGCCATTTCTAACACTACGCGAGGCTTCGCAACAGACGTAAGCGGCGAGTGACACCCCCCCCCCAACGCGCGTCCGTCTGCTCACAGCGTCGTTTTCATCGCCGCATTGTTACAGCACAAGAAGGGGAGACGAGCATCCAGTGGGAGGAAGGGCCGATCGCAGAAGCGCCGACGCAGCGGCGACAACGACTCGGACGTGTCCGAGGACGACTACGTGCCGCGGCCGACCAAGAGGAGGTCGGTGTCGGGCACCGAGGAGGAGGAGGAGGAGGAGAAGGCGAAGAAGGCCAAGGCGGCGCAGCCGAAGAAGCGAGAGATGTGCGACGACGGCAAGAGTTGCAAAAAGTACGTGCGCGACGCGGCGGCGTTTCCATCTCTAGGCGTCGGGTTTTTCGTCGTCCTCGACGATTCGAGCTTCGCCGGTATTCGACGTGGCACGCGTTCGTGATGCGGGGCTACTAACCCAGGCTACGTCGGGTGTCTTAAACCCCCCCCCCCCAGTATGTTCCCCTCGTGTGTCTGTACCAGGTTTCTCCTATCCAGTGATAGCACAGGCTGGCACCCCCAGACCCACAATTGATATCCCTAAAGATGTACTCGTGTGCCCAACGCTTTAAGAATACCATGCAGCGTTCACTAGTGGGAGGGAATCACTGAGCATCGTATAAGCGGTAGTGCTCTTCTGTGTCTGGCAGATTTTGGTTGTTATTGTTTTGCTTATCTCCTTCCGTATGCGGACGGCATCCTAGCCTATGCTGGTTTCTTTAGATTTTTTTTTAGATTTTAAAATTTATTTACGCTTTCAAGTATATTACATTTTTTCATATATCACAAGTTTTTTTAAATAAGTACAGCGAGGGGAGTTTCATCGCTGATCTACTGCATTAATTACTGTACGATTTCTTAGGTACGCAAACTTGCGGCACAGCTATAGATCTCTTGTACGAGTGCTACCTCGCTATTTCTCGATTTGCAAGTATCCTATGGTTTCAGGCGAAATCGACAGCACTTCAAGGATATGAGTCATCCGGGGGACTCCGACTACGAAGAAGATGCAGTTAGTGGTGAAGAGGAAGAGGAGGAAGAGGAAGAGGAGGAGGCAGAAGGAGAAGAGGAAGCCACCAAGGAGTCCAAAATGTCGAGTGAAGTCGGGTAGGAGGATCCTACTGCCCTCGCAAATATCTATTCTGGCCAAGTTCGAGCTAGCCAACATTTTTAGCAATGGATATTGTGTAACACAGTTTGACGTTTTTCTACATCTTGCTTTCAGTGGCAAGGAAATCGAGACGAAGAGTTGAACAGACTACCTACGACGAAATTTACTACTATTGGCCACATCATTTGCCCGACAAAATCTCATTTGTAAACATTTTGGGGGCCATTTTGGAGGTCTCTTGTACTCAGTCGTTGGCCCACATTACTACTTCGATAACAGGGTAAGTACATCATAGACGCACACACATAGGAGCAGGTGAAGCGACGTGATGTACCCGCCATGTTACCTGCTGGCTTGTCACAGAAAGCGACAAATTTCTCTTCTGCTAGTAGATCGATATTGACGAAGAGTCGCAGAATGACGGCAAGGGCAAAAAAGTTGTGCCACCATTATTGACGTTGAAAGACCGTTCGTCATTTCTCTCTCTCTCTCTCTCTCTCTCTCTCTCTCTCTCTTCCTCTTCCCGTGTCCACCCACACCTATTACAGTTACCATAGAGTCCGGGATAAGAAGCTAGGCTGTTGAATGGAGTTGGCGTTGCCGCTGAGCATACGTCGTGTACGGTCGCGAGCGGTATTCACTTGTTTTTGTGTTGTGATGTACCTAGATGGCAGTGCACGCGTTTAGTATGCAGCGGATCCATCGTCGAGCCGGGGGAAAAACCAGCGAACGGCCGGGGTCTTTTCCCATTGGCGCGCGGATCCCGCGCATGACTTGGTAGCCATGTTCGTTAGTGTCCGTACTGTTAATGTCCCCGTTTGGCTATCCATCGGTTACTGTCCAGCGAATTTTAGCTGCTGTCGTGCGCACGCATTATCTCCCAATACCGACCGCACGCTGCCGCCGCGCAGGCGAATTTGCCATCCATGTTATATTTACGTATTTCTTAAATATATATACATATACATATATATCTATATATATTCATGCGTGTTTCCCATAAACCATACGTGTAACGTCTTGTCACGTCTGCCACGCTGTCGCGAATCTACTACCACTCGTACGAGGACGTTTGCGCACGCTCGCGAAAAAGGCCGCGTCACATATAGCAGCGCGAGCAAGCCAAATTGGAGTGACGCAGCCTCGCGTGAAACGTCGGACCTGCCTCGTCACCGACAACCAAGACGACGTCTGTGTGCGACCGTGAAATTTCTTCGTAGTTGCTCGGTGGTGGCCGGGTAACATGTCGGTGTCTGTTGCGTGTTCTCGTTCTCAGTACTAATTCGGTGAGATGGGATGTGCGCGCCAGGTTGGCGGGCGCGCGTCGCACTAATTTCACTTAAAATTATATTTCGTGTCGTGAGAGTAGATTGTACAGCCATTTCGTGTCGTTCGACAAGCAACGGTAAAAATACTATTTTTGTCACATTTATGGTAGGTTACTGTCAACCGGGAAGTTATCCTATAGCCTAGAGTTGCAAACCTGTACTTGTACATGTGCTTGTATGTGTTGTACTGCATTTTTCCTGAGAAGTGAATTAATTATGAAAGGACATTAGGATAACTTTAAGCTCCCCTTCGTTCATCATGATATCAGCACTTTACGTGTTCAGAATTCAACAGTAGCATTTTCTTTTGTTATCATCCCTTCAAAGTGAATCTTATCGACATGACAATATTACCGTGAATATTATCATGTTCTTATACTATAGTTTAAGCAGTTTGGTGTGTGTGTGTGTGAAGAGAGTGCGTAGCTGTGCGTATAATTATACACTAACGTAAGATATACGATGGTATTTACTCAACATTCTAGGTAACATTATTAAGTGTGCACTTTAATAAATAGGTAGTCTTAACTTGAAATCAATTGACCTTGTGTGGAGGGATACTAGCAAAAGTATTATGATTATACATGTACATATTATTATGTTACCATGGTGTTGACACGAAGCATTCGACGAAAGTTCAAACATGGTTAGAAAAGTGTTTTGCTAGAGTTTAATGATCATTGATGAGAACAAATCAGTTTAAGATTTATTGGAATTTGGGGTGCAATTGGTTTGTAGTTGTTGTGCTGCTCACCACTAGTTAGCAATCAAAATTAGTGTATCAGTAATTATAACCTCGTTTAGAATTCTATGAAATCTACAGATGCATTGGTGTAATGAAGGAACTCACAGAAGTCGTTGCTCAGTTTTAGAACTAACTGTATGTGAAAGAAATCCACGACAAAAATCACACGGAGTGTACATGTAGTGTCTATCAAGTATGTATCCTTGTTTCACTAGAATTATTTTATGCTGCATCTGTTGTTGTCCCCAAAATAAACTGCTTGTGACAAAAGTTCTGTGTGTTGCATATTTGGTCTTCGTTTAGTTTCAGTTCGAAGGCCTGACCTTGTTTGTGTGCAGCCAGTAATTATGCAAGGCAGATCAACGGCGACCGACGTCCGAGCGCCACTTTCATGTACTTTAACATATGTGGGGATTGTGGCGAGATGCTACGGGCAAACTTAATTTTGCACTACGATCACCAAAGCGCCACGATTCCCACCTATGCTAATGTACATGAAAATGGCGCTCGGACGTCGGTTGCCGTTGACTGCCAAGACCATTTTCTTCGGACGATCTCGTACGTTCAAACTGGCCAGGGGCGGGCCGACAGCACGTGCATGGTAAAATTCGATCTACAACATTCACTTTGCTCGCAGCATCGCATGTTACCTGCATATAGTACTATGAATATCAATTCTCCAGGAATATTCCCTCTCGTGCAGTACTCGTACACACATTTTCTTAATTCACTTCTTGGGGCTGGCATGATCGAGTAGGAATTCGTAGTGTATCGGATTTTGCTCTCAGGCATACTCTTCCATGTAGACCTTATGAGAAGAATAAATTGGCTGAGTTATTTCAAAATGAAGTTGGCCAATAGCAAGTGATCATGATATCATGGTATTCATTTATTTGCACTATTGTTGAGCTGACACAACATGTAATGCACATATTTACATGCATATTTATCACCTTGTTAAAATCTTCTTGGAGTTTCTGATGATGTAGCAAAATAAACAAGCCATAAGGAAATTCACTACAAGAACGTCTTGCTACAAACTAATGACATTCTTTGTGTAGTACTATAAAACAAAAATTTGTTAAATTGTGAATAACCCATAGAGGTACATGATGGAATGGTTTGTACTTGCCCTAAATACTTTTCATTTATTGCTTTGCTCCCATGACAAAATACAAACAGTCATAGAAATTAAATTCGTTCATGAAATATTTACATTCAGTCCAAACTTGCAATGGCTATGGCTATAAATAGAAAATGCTAATCTTTTTCAATGAATGAAAATCTGGTGGACATGATCTCATTTTATGTCCGCCTGTAAAAATGAGTAATGAATTGAATGTACAGATAATGATGAACAAACTACATGATTAGAAACCCATAAATCAGTAGTTACACAACTGCCTGCTTTATTCTAACAATAACAACTACGTTCTAGTTATAACCGGGTGTTTCCTCAGCCACGCACGTTGGACATGCAGAAAATCAGGTCTGGTCTTTATTTGGTCACTGTGATCACACCAGCTCAGTCTCCAACTGCACAGAAACAAGTTCTACACATGGAGCATTCTCCCTCTCTCTCTCTTGCTCTCTCTCTCCATGTCATCAATGCGACATGACCTCTCCTCGCCCCATGCCCGCCACACTGACTCAGGATACCGGTCGTAATTGTGTAAAATAACGTAAAAAGTGATCTTTTAATCTGCCGATTGTGTGACATGATCCCCCGCCTCTCATTACATCACGGAGGGGCGCTCTATCCGTCAAGCATGTGACATAAACCGCTCGCTTCTCCCTCCCCCATCACATCTCCACGAGGTGAGTTCCTCAACCTGTTAAACATATGAGATGAGCTACGCCTCTCATTCCTCCCTCCCTGCTCCCTCCCCCTTCACATCACTCCCATGTTCATCCCTATTCACCCTCTAATTAGGTGCACTATCCGTCAAACGTGACATGACCCACCCGGGCCCAGTCCGCCCTTGCCTGCCTGCCTCTTCCTAACGTCACTAGGAGTACTCTACCAGCGAATCATGTGACATCATCTACTCTCCCCTCACAACCTCCTCTCCTCCATCCTGCCCTCCTCTTCCTCCCTTCCTCCCCTGCCCTCCTCCTCCTCCCTTCCTCCCTCGCCCTCTTCCCTCACATCACCTCCGTGTCGGCGGCCGGCTCCGCCTCTCGAAACCTCCTCTCCTCCATTCCCTCCCGTCTTCCTCCCCTGCCCTCCTCCTCCCGCCTTCCTCACTCGCCCTCTTCCCTCACATCACCTCCGTGTCGGCAGCCGGCTCCGCCTCTCGAAACCTCCTCTCCTCCATTCCCTCCCGTCTTCCTCCCCTGCCCTCCTCCTCCAGCCTTCCTCACTCGCCCTCTTCCCTCACATCACCTCCGTGTCGGCAGCCGGCTCCGCCTCTCGAAACCTCCTCTCCTCCATTCCCTCCCGTCTTCCTCCCCTGCCCTCCTCCTCCAGCCTTCCTCACTCGCCCTCTTCCCTCACATCACCTC